CTGACGTGTTCATGCCTGATCCCAGGCCACTTTTCTGCAATTTCATGGCTATTCTAAATTTTTACATTGCTTAGTTTTGCACACCGTTTGATTTGTCATTGGGATCCGATAAAACGCCTTAAATTGATCGTTTATTTATAACTAATAATTCAAAACAATCACTTTGTGGTATTAATTGAAAAGTAATTGGTGTAAAACAAAATTATCAGTTAGCGTTTCGTTGCCATCGCTGACCAAAGGTGTTTGACATTTTTTACCAGCAGGCCTTGCAGAAAGTTTATGTAAAACTTTAGAAGAATATAAGTATATATTTTTACTAGGGTTGTTTAAACTTTCTACGTTAATTATATACTGGTGTATAAGTCTAAAAGTTTTGTAAGATTGTATGATTAAAATTACAAAAACTTGAACAACACTGTCTGCGAGAATCTCGTTATTTTTAGTGTGATATTATTTTTTCAGTGGTATTAAATTCTTACGATAATGTTATAATTCCAAATGGAAATTATATTGATTAAAAATTCTCGCATCATAATTTTCGTAATATCTTGTTTTATTAATTAGATGCAACTTAATTATTCCATATTTTAATATACCACTCAACAGGGGAAGATGGAAATGACCTAAAATATTTTTTTCTAAAAATTCGTTAAACAGTTATAACAAAAACAAAATTTGTACTTTATTTCAAAATAATATTTCATTAATTTTATAAATGCAAAATTTTTATTGTATTATAACTACCATTCATAGTATAAGTTTTAATTTTAGTGAAGAATTAAGATTTGGTTATTTTATTTGGCGTTTTAATACAGTTTTGAGTATGATAGTCTTTTACTAGGCTGATAATCTGCTAATACAAGTTTTATACATTTCTGATCCTTTAATTTATGAAAATGTCATTTTTAAAGGAGAATATAATTTTTGAAAATGAAGAACAGCTGTTCTGAGTTCTTCATAGAAATATTTCACAAATGTCTTTTACTGTAATAATGATCATATCAACATGCAACACTTTTTACTCATTAATAAATCTAAAGCAACATGTGTCTATTTAGCTAAAATTACTAAAAAGAAAGTTCTAAAAATCTTATTAACTGAAACAACATGCAAATAAAACATACTATTTTTTCAGCTATTTTACAGGGCAAAATATAAGAGTAGCATATCAATTAATTTGAATCCTTTTAAATAATCAAAATGATAATATGAAAGGCCTTTTCAATAATAGATCAGACATAAGTTTCTCTTCATAAAACAAAAATACTCTGCAACAGACTAATGTTACTTTTTGAAAAAAGGAATTGCATGTGTTGAAAGCACATCTTTTAAATTAATGCTATTCTGAGGTCAAAATTGGACTAATTTAAAAAAGCCAAACTATTATGCTTCACTTGCATATATCTGTATAATGATATACACATGCAGATTTTTTACTCAAAATCTTGATTTCAATATATTTTATTATAATAAGCATCATTTTAGACAAAAATCTATTACTTTTATACATACATGTCCTTTAGTATTTCAACTATGAAAAATATATTCAACATACATAATTACTTAATGGGCTATTAGAAGTAAATAGTCTGAAACCTTTACAGATACAACCATTGGAATTTTGTATATTCTACTCACGTAATAACTTGCTGTAATAATACAAGCAAATAACCTGTAACGGTTACCTGTTGAAATTTTACATGAAAAAAACATGTTTTTTTTTACATAATTTTTTGCTGTACACGCAAATAATCAGTAACCATGACAGATACATCGTTTCGGATTTTACACGAGAAAAACATGTTCTTTTTACATAATTATTTGCTGTAATATTACACGCAAATAATCTGTAACCATTACAGATATATCATTTGGGATTTTACATGAGAAAAATATGTTCAACGTATATAACTACATACTATGATATTACAAGAAAAAGATATGCAACCATTACAGGCAAAATTCGTGTAAAGTTACAAAGAATTTCGTTTTTTAGATGCACTTTGCATTGCGTTAAGTTTAACGTTTTTACGAGTTTGAAGTGGTAACTACCGATTAAGTTCTCAAACTTAGAAGAGGTGTACGAGTACTTTCCAGTTTCAGAACTATAAAGTATTTCTTTTGGTACAATAAATTTTATCAAGCTATCATCGTTTTCGTGTGCGTTCAATCCATTATTAATCTGTACACCGGTAAAAATATATGTATTCTAATAATTCAAATAATTAGAAGAAGTCTGAAACTTTGAAGGTTAAAACATTTCAAAACGTTTCATGGAATAGTTCACCAGGATAAAAGTCATCTTAAAAGCAGCTTTTAAGCGTCAAGTCACAAGATCGAACGTACTGTATTTCATTATTTCAGTTACTAAAAGTCAATTACCACCTCATTTAGCTCAGTAAAATAAGCGTTGCCATGTAGAGCGGGAGATACTGTACTCTGAGTCCGAAGGGAGTTAACGTATTTGCAAAGTATTATATTGGATATGAGATATGTCAGTTAAGATGCAGCGTAGTGTTTTATGCATATTATTTGTATCTGTGTATCATAGAAGGTATATAAGAATATTATAAGTTTATATATTTCACGAAGACCAAACAGCACATATTGAAATTTAACTGTAGTCTTTTTATTATACCACTACTTTCTTTATTAGGATCGTCCTAGAAACGATTAATCAAAATTAATTACACTGCAATTTATTCATTTTAGAAATTGAGCAAATAATGTACACATTAAAGCAGAGAATTATTCCAAATCAAGAAGTCATTGCTGGTCTGGTTAATTCATACATCAATTTAAATATTTATGTTTTTTCAATTTCATTATAACAGATGCGGCAGTGAAATGGGTGATTTGTCAACCCTGAAAAAAGAAAAGGAATCAGAACACGGGAGTGATGTAATCTGGGCAACAAACCTTTGTTATTGATTCTGGTACCGGTGTTCAGTCGATATCGTGTTGGAAATCGGTGAACAACGCACTTTTGTGGTGAAGGCGTTTTACAAAACCAACGACAGGTATGTGGTCGCGTTCGCACGTCATGCCCTAGTCCCATCGGCTCATGTTATCAAATTGTGGGTATAGAAATTTGAAGAAAAGGGTGATATGGTGAGAAGGAGGAGTGGAAGTGCAAATCGTGGGCTCGTTAAAGAATATTGCAAGAATAGAAGAAGTTTTCAGCCGAAGTCCAGGCGTTCTGCATGAAGAAAGTGCACGCGCTGCAACTTGACATATCGGTTCGCAGTGTGCGTTGAAATACTGAATAAGGAAGACCAATACGGCCCTTTCAAAATTCAGGTAGTGCAAAAACTGAATGCAGACGACGTTCCAAAGAAACTACGTATTCGCAGGGGAAAATGTTGGAACTTGCGAGCGACAAACCAGGCCTGTGCTACAATCTGATCATGAGCGATGCTAGTTTTTATGTGTCAGACTTTGTTGACAACCAAACTTTGGATACTGGCCACGTGAAAATCCTGAAATTCTTCATTAAAAGCCATTTAACAGTCAGAAAGTGGTAGTATGGTGCGGCATATCATCATTTGGAATTATCGGGGCTTATTTTTTAAGATAATCGGGATATGCTCTTACTGTAAATACAGAACGTAATGCTCATATCCTGATCCATTTCCTAGTGCGACAACTTGTTGATCTTCCTGTAATTGCAAACACATTCTTCCAGCACCACAGGGTCCGATGCCATACATCGCGAGTTTACATTAACGCGCTACATAACAATCTCGCCTGGTCATCTCATCTCCAGGAACGGGGACATTTTCCGGCCTTCAAAGATCGCCTGACCTTTCAGCGTCATTTCTTACTCTGGGAGCCATTTGAAATCTGAGATTTTCCGGTGTGATCCACCACACCATCCAGGAAATGAAGGATCAAATTTAGGAGGAAGTTCATAAAATTTTAGGGTCAGTCCTGCAAGATGTGATGTCTAACTTTCATAAAAGACTTGGAATGAGCGTGTGGGAAAATACGGGTAAACAACGTAATGTCAAGTGACGGACTGCGTTATTTTCTGGTGATGAACATTCTGTACCGTGACATGTCTGTGCAAGACGAGTACGTTGTTCAGACACATTTCTCACAAACTATAAGCATTGCAAATGCTGTATTTCTTTTATATTGCAGCGAATAAATTTGTATCGCTAATTGAGGTTTCAAAATAGCCCGTTTCACTAACGTACCTGTTACAGTTTCTTCTATTTAGCTGGCTTGCTTCTTAATGCATCGGATCAATCATTTAAAGAAATTATGTAACATAAAGGCATTTAGTGTCAATAATTATGTTTTCATGAGGAGCTTAAAAAGCACAAAATTGTCTATTATGCTTCCATTTTGAAGAAAATATATGTTAAACGTTTTAGGTATTCATCCTCAATTTTTATATCCCCCCGCAATGGTAATGCCACATTATTATATTTCGAATGCAGAGTAAAAGATATAAATAACAAATGCTAAATACATAACAAGTACATTATCTTCTAGAATTCATGTTAAAAACTTAATTCGTTTAGTACGTGTAAAATTTTTAACTGTGTGTGGGTGTTTTTTCTTTTTTTTCTTTTTTTTTTTTTTTCTTAGTACATAAAACACTTAACACTGTCTTAAACAATCCGTATTTTGTTACTGAAAAATCTCTCTGTCTTGGCAATAGAAAGCATGCATAATATTTTTCCCTCATATTCTCGTAACATAATGCAGTGTGTAAAAGAAGTAGACAGAATCCTATTATTATCGAGGAAAATGGCACATTACCATTTTATTTGATCCCTGGTGGCCGTATTATGACATCTCTAGCAGAGCCAAAAAAAAAAAAGAAGTCCTTTAATCCTATGACCTCGGAAACCAATCCTTGCCCGGTTTCTTGAAGTACCTGAGAAATAAATACCGTCAATGTCTGACAGGCCATGCTGATTTTTTCTTCCCTTCAGCTAATACCATCCTTTCCCCTCTAAGAGATCTTCCTTCTCTTTTTTTTCATTCAGTTCCTCCCCACATCGTAGAAGAAGAAACTAGCTCTGACACGGAAGTCCGAGAAGGAAGTGACGTGAGCCTCCGTTGCGTCGCCACGGGGTCGCCAAATCCGGAAACTACATGGCGCAGAGAAGATGGCCAAGAAATATCAATTGATCGTAAAAAAGGTATGTTAAATAGTATGTCTCGAGTTTATGGAATTGAAACAAATATTCACTCTACTTTTATCATATATTTTAAAAATAAATCAAAATCCTTTCGAGATAATCCAAATAAAAAAATTTAAATTATTCACATGCAAAATGAATTCATAAATCATCACAATTTCAAAGAGAAAGTCAAACACCTGTATTCAAAGCACCTTTTAAAATTCTTTTTTTTTTCCATACTGAATATACTAATTCTGAACAGCAATTATAGTTTTATGGTGTGTCCATCGCAAACGTATGCAAATATTATTCATTTTCATAAACATTAAATTTATTTTAAATTTATACACATTAAATTGTGCATTTACCGCTCAAGTTACTTGAAAATAAAAATTGTAAACATCTAATAGAAAAGAACTTCAAGAGGAGTCCTAAGCTAGATGGTTATTTCCATAATTAATGTTTTGTCAATATGAAAATCATTTTGTGGTTGATTTAATAAATTTAATAAAATATACACACAAACGGATTCACGTACGTATTCTATTGGCTAAATTATCATGATCACTGCGTTGTTATCTTATTGAATTTGTTTTATACTTAAAAATGCAATTTGATTTCTTCAAACAAGGAATTCTATAGCTGCACATAACGCAGAAAAATTTCATGTCACGAAGAATTCAGATATATTTGATGTCAATACGCCTGTTAGGAAGGTTTGACGGTAGGGAATTCATTTTTTAACTAAAAAATTTCGTCTTCAAACTGTAAATGATGTCACAAGGTGGTTCCGGTTTTCAGCAATATTAAAAAAATAATCATCTTTCAAGAGTAGCTCTCAAGAACCTGGAACACATGGAGACAAGCGCTATAGCATATCGTTGCCAGCAAACGTATAACCAATCTTTATTATGTGGATAGGTTGCATTTTTATAAAGCTCTTGTCTCCGTATTATCATTTATATCAGAACGATAATAATAAAGAGATTCCTCCAAACAAACCGTTTTAAGTTTCTAAATTTTGGATGCCGGAACTAAGTAGATCATTGGTCCTGCTCCAAGAGACAGCGATGTCGAATGGGCTGATCTTTTAATTCTGTGTTCATTACTGAATGCGATTCTTACGACTCTATGATAGAAAATTTCATTGAAAAACTATCTGCAATGGATCTTGACTCATTACACCACAATTCAGGTAAGCTATTTTGTAATGCACTATTTGCCATCTGTAAAACTGAGCAAGTTTCACATCTTTCTATTCCATCAGAGTGACTGTTAGCTCTTTAAAGCAACATAACATCCGCTAAGGCAGGTAATCTCTTTGTTTACTTGTCGCCTGTACGTGTACGTGAGCTATTTTGATAACGTTTACTGTTACATCGTTTTCAGAGAACCTATCTTTATCTGTGGCTTGATCAATTTTAACGTTTATTAGTTTCTGAAAATCTATCCCTGTTCATACTTTATATAAGTTCAGAAATCATATGACAACAATATTCGTGAAATAACTAGTTTGCTTAAAATAGTTTGATTTACTTGATAATTTGGTCACTCGTAGTACACATGTATTTCACAAAGGCAAGCATTTATAGCTGTACTTCATGCGTCTGTTGAACTATAGGTTTAGTCTAGAAAATATATTATTTTAAATATTTTTATTGCCTTGCATTTTACTAAAAGGACTATGCAGTCATTTTGAAAAGCATTTTATAGACGGAAGATTAATTAAAAAGCTAAAAGGTTCATTAGCCATTGTCCAATAATTTAAACCAGTTAATTACAGTAATTTGGACGTTTAACTGAGAATTAAGAATTTCAATACCAGAATATACATATATCACTTCGCAGTATAGTTGAAAAAAGAAGGTGCCTAGTAAGGAAAAGATAAATAAAAATGCAGTTGGCTAAACAAAATAACAACGGGAAATGAACATTCATTGGACGTTCAAAAACTGATGAAAGCGCGTATTTAATACTCTAGTTTTCGTTTTCTTAAATACGAAGTGGTTAATTTAGAAAATTTGATTATAGTTCGAAGTCACAAATGGTCATATTTTACTTCTTTTACGTTGAAATCATATAATTTTAGAATGGCAAAATTCAGTGTCCCAACGTAAAATAAATATTATATATATGAACAAAATTATGAATTAAAAAATCATCTATTCTGCTTGTTTGGAAAACATGCATTTTAAAGGTTCAATGAAAAAAGAAATGCCACATCAACACAAAACAGAAGCCTTTTGCTCACTGAGACGACTTATGACATTTTCTGTTCTAAATGAGAGCTTTTGCCTTAATAGCAGTTAAACTGTTTCCGAAAATAAATAAAATAGAACCTGACCCATACCACGAAGATCTTCGGGCATTAAATTTTAGTATTTCTTAGTAATCATTATGACTGGAGAATTCTAATGATAATATACGGAATGGTAATTTAAAAAAGAAAAACAAAAACTTAAGAGGGTTAAAAATGTTTACAAAGAAATAATCGGATTGTGATCGTGCTAAACAAAACTCCATGCAGTAAGCTAAAACAATGCTTTTCTCTTTACTATTGACGCAGAATGAAAGTAAGAACTCTTGAAAAGTTATATTGATAAGAAGACTAATCAAATTATTTGAACTGGTTGGTTGAATTTTTAATGGCACAAAACCTCGAGGGTTATTATGCGCCAGACAAATGGTGAATAAAATTCAAGATGCACAAACACACTGCATCAAGTGAACTGATGGAATGAACCTGAAATACTGATGCATAAAGAAATGAATTTGAGAAATGCTCTAGCAACAGGTAGAGCAGGATAAAAGGAAAATAACTTCAAATCATGTGTTAAAAAGAGATGTCGTTTAAAAATCTTATGAGGTTGATGTTGGGTTTTCTTAAAAAGAGATGAAGGCATGGAGAAATGACTGAGAAATAACGTAGCAGGATAAAACATAGTTCAAATCATATGGTAAAAAGATATGTCTTTTAAACATTACCATTCGTAGAGTTAAAATAAAATCCAGGTTTCTGACTAAAAACAGGACAGCAGGTTAAAATGTGATTGACTAAAACGGGAAAGTTGCAAGTGCCACAAATAGGCTCATTATCTCCTTTCAAGAGATACTGATGTGTCAGTCTGCAATGACCAATTCGTAGGCGAGTCAGTAGTACATCCTACTTTCGATTCCCTCTCGACTCCCAATGCTCCAAATTGAGTTTTTCCTGCCTTAATTTGTTCAGAGTTTGGCATTCCCAGAGTTCTTGCCACCTGGACAAGATCTTTGTTCTGATGTAATTCCGTATGTCTGTAAAAGGGACATCATTTTTCTGAGGAAATATCAGCAGATTTTGCTGTGATATCGGCGAGTTCATTGCCTTTGATGCCAACATGTCCAGACACCCAGCAGTACGCAATATAATAACATAATAATATAATAATATTTGGACTTGAAAAACCCCATGAATTCAAAACATGCCATATAGCAAAATGGAAAGTTACAGTAACCAGTAAAAAGAGCATTTGCGATATGTACTTCATTCAATAATATTAGCAAATCTGGAATAAGTTTAAAAGTATTTTTAGCGTCCATGGCATTTCAGTGGAACATTTAAACCTCTGAAAGGAAGCGAAGTACATAAATACGTTAAGATGATAATCTGTATTTCAGACCAACGTGGTTACCCGCAGGAAAAACAAGGTATTAAGAAGATTACAGCGCAGAAAAAATAAAGTAATAAAATGATAAAAGCCCCCTTATCATTGCTACAAGCAGAAATGAGTCATATAAAAGTATTGCCTATTTATACTGTAACAGAATACAAACTTAAAGCAAATCTTTTCCATTTTATATTATTTGTTCGTTTGAAAACAAATTCTCAACTAGAATTCCCTCAACATAAATTTGTTTATTTACTGGATGGCTGAAATGCATCGTCTTAAACGAATCAAGCTTAAAAATATTGCTTAAATTTTAATTAAACATTAAAATAGCAAGCCTAAATAATCACCGAACTCCTCAAACGCGTTTTTGAGGTATTTTTGAGAAATGCTTGTAAAAAGCATATGCCGAAGTTTTAACTTTTTCTTTTAAAATCGATAGGAATAGCTTACTTGTTCGTTAATTTTCTTTGGTATGCCTGCAATTTCGTATAATTAAAGTGCAAATTTGCAATTAGGATCACATTTCTTCAAATAGGGTGCTTTTTTCCTAATCTTTGAATCACAAAGTATTTCTTGAAATAGCAGTGAAAAGGAATCTTAAATAAAAATTAAAAGTATGTATCAATTAGTTTCAAAGCTCATGTTAGTTAATCTTTCTATTTAAATAATTTTTTGACGGATACTTTTGTGGAAATAGCTACGCTTTCTTTTAACGATATTTTTTCTTCTTGCTATTATTTCAGTGACATCTCTGAAAAGCACAGACTTGAATATTACAAAAGTGGGTCGCCTTCAGATGGGGGCTTACCTATGTATTGCATCTAATGGAGTCCAACCGTCCGTCAGTAAAAGGATTGTCCTCAGTGTGAACTGTAAGTAAACGAAATTGTAACAATTAAAAAATATTTTTAATGTGTTAGTTATGTGTTAGTGCTTTTACAAAGCATTTCGTTACTGAAAAGTGGTTTGGTTTGGTTTGGTTTGGTTTATTGAGATTACGGCAAAGCAGACAAGGGCTATTTGCTTAAGGGATGGATGCCTATCTGGGGGGCTTTCTAAGGTAAACTGACTCTTATACGCGTTAAACATGGGGTAAACTACGAAACCGCCCATACAGCCGGCCTGTTCGCCAGAATTCGAAACCCGGACCAAACTACCAGTGTTCAGTGAATTTACCTCTCTGCCGCTGATGCGCTACTGATAAATATAGTAACTGAATGTTGGAGCAACGTTCTAGGATCACGTTCACAAAATGTAAAGGACTTTTGTTCGTGACGATCAGATTTTTACATAAACTGAGGACTTTTTGGTATCATGTTTTATTTTCTATTGCTAGTATTAGATTACTTTTATTTTTAAACATTTGTACATTATTTTTCTTTACAAATTCTACAAGAATATATTGCAAGTATCCTATTACAAAATCTAGGCCAGAATTTTGAATCTTAAGGTTTACTAGGCTTCTGAAATGCGAGAAAATATCTCATCTCTAGATTACATTTAGAGAGCTTCCGTTGCTATAAATACTAACCAATAATTACATTAGCTGAGAACCATTAATTTTAAAATTACAGTACTTAATGAAGAAAGTCTGTGGATTTATGTTATACAGCACATGTATAATACATAAGTTTCTTTATTCCTGAAGAACCTTGTTATAAATAGCTGCAATATTCAACAGCTTATCTTTTGATTTAAGTGAGCAGGTGTGAAAACGGAATGAAATATCATTAAAATATAGAGAAAAAGCTTTTTTCCATAAAGCCATATTCTAAATTTCTTTTTATAATTTATGAGTTAAATGCTATGTAGAAATAAAAAACTGATTTTTCAAACATATTTTCGTGTATATAGTTTATTAAAAAATTACCATATAAAAATTTCAAGCATAAGAAATGTGTATTACTGTAGTTACACGCCAAAATGTATAAACTTATATAGTATTGAAACTGGAAAGTAAAATATTGAAATACAAAAAACTAATTATTCTATGATATCGTTAACATTCTGGTTTTTTTAAAAAAAGATATTTTACAGTTCTTCCGTATGATAGCGTTCCTTATTTCTTTTATTGAATGCTTTCCAGGTATCTCAGTTATTGAATGTTTACAGATGTGGTGTCTTCTTGCTGCATTTCACTCAAAATTGTTATTTTGATGTGTTATACGTAGGTATCACATCAAAACTCTCCGAACTGTACACAACAAGATTCCTCGCTTGGAACATAAACAAAACGCTCAAAGAACTGCACTTGTACGACTCATGGTTTTTGAGATAAATAAGAAAGAAAAGTATGATGTCATATCCGTTACAACGCATCAGGTTCCAGCATAATGAACCTCTAACGCATTCCATCCCACCTATACGTGACTGGCTGTTTATGGAATACCCAAGCCGGCTCGTTTCATGGCCGCCACGATGGTCAGATCTGACATCTTTAGATTTTTTTTGTATTGGGGTGGGCCATCTGAAGACACTGGTCTATGAAGACTCTGTTACTAGGGAAAATGACTTAGTCACTCGTCTTCATCCTGTGTGTACTTTGGTGGACATCATGCTGCTGCAACTTCTGCAATGGAATATTCAACGGCTCGCGCATGCATGATTCGATACGCGCGGTGGATATTTTGAACATCTTCCTATGTAAACATCGACTATGTTCCTATGTAAATACCTACGTTCTGTACCATTTGTTATGTCATATGTTTCTTTCTATATATATATATATATATCTCGAAAACTATGGATCGTACAGGTACAATTCTTTGGGCATTTTTATGGATTCAAAGCGAGAAATATGGCTTTGTAGATTTTGAGTGATCATGATAGAGATTTGAGTGGTCATTTGAGTGGTCACACCTTATATAATCTGTGAGAGAATTTTTGTATAAATTTGTGTTCGATCGAGTGTCAACTAAGCACTGTTATATATTATTAGGACGTTAAACTGTAGATAATGAAGGGCGTCTTTTAAATTGTCTTATCTGGTCACAGAGGCTAATGTGAAACAATAGAGAAATTTATGAGGAAACTTTATTGCAGAGTATAGGCTCTTTATTACGCTAAGCCTCCTATTTAGATTAGAAGATTATAAATTTTATTGCTTTTGTATAATTATTAACTCGTAAAAACGTTGTTATTCACAAAGCCTTTTCGATTTAGATTAAGTGAGAGAAAATATTATCTTTGAAATAATCAGAATAGAAAAACATGATACTCTCTATCTAATAATAAAAGAAGCAAGTGTATATTTAAAGGGAGATTATTGGTGAATGACAATGCAAGTTATGTTTGTAGAGCAAAATTCAAAGCCTTCAATCAAAATCAACGTTTCATAATATTTAACAATATGTCATTTGTTTCAGATATCTTTCAAGTTTTTAGGTTAACCTAATTAATACGAGTTATAACCACTTTTCTAATTTCAACCTCCGATTGAAATCAGTTCCTTTATTTCAGTTGAATAGCAACAATTTGTTAATGTAAGGAAAAGGTGTATCCATAACAACATAGAGTTGCAATTGTCCACTTCTTGTGGTATCAAAAGGAAAAACAAAAAAGTTATACAAAGGTGCAATTACACTAGCTGCAAAACAATTTATTTTCAACAGGATAACCATATCAAGAATTTGGAAACGTGCTTCCGAAAATAATCATCAAGGCGAATCTATGCTAATGTCGATTCTTTGAAAAACGAAAACTACAAAGAAAATGCAAAGATTATAGAGATGTAAATGCAAAGATTATGGAGAAAGACATGTTCCACTTAGAAGAAACACCACAGAAGCAGTAAACAGAACCTTTGATCACATTCCTCCTGAAATATTAGATAATACGTTTCTGTTACTGCAACAAGATATCCAGGATGAAATGAAAAGCGATGGCTCCAATAATAGAGGAAAAGCAAAGTTTCGCAACCAAAGAACCCTACCTACAATTTGAAAATGCAGTAACGAAAGTATTCAAAAATCCAGAAACTATCCAAACACTCAAAATAATAATTAGGAGTAATTTTTTTTAAATTTATTGTTTAAGTTAAGCTAGTTTTTTAATAATAAATATTGAATTCTATAATTATTTCCTTTTGCTGCTATTATTACGTGGCAAATTAAATTCATCAAATGATACTTTTATTATGGGACAGAAGTAGTACTTAGGAAAAAAATGCGCGTAGCAAGCATTAATACATTTACTAAATAACTTAGTAAAAAAGCTAAAAATTTACAAAAATACTTACTAACAATTTACAGAAAACTATTTACTAAAAATTTACATATATTTAAATAGTATTTACCGAAAAATTACGTAAATTGATGTACATTTATGCATTGTGCGTAGCATGCATTTACTAATGCATTAATGCAATTTAGATTTATGAATTTATGCGTTTTAATGCATTTACTAAATGCAGTAATAAACAAAAGGAATTGACGAAACGAAGCTTTTATCAGCTAAAAATATATTTGTCAGTCCTGATAAAAATTATTTTAATTGGAATTTAAATCTTTGCAAATTTAAAATTCTATATTATTGTTACAACTACATACATTCCTTGCAAGTATTAATTATTTTACTATAGGTATATACACACCATGCGTGCATGTGTCACAGAATCCTTTAACCGGAGAATGAACGGTGAATAGAATGAGATGAACTAATCTATTGCATCCGTGCTAAAGGGAAATAATTTAATTCTTGATTAATTTGCAAATATATACCTTATACATAGTGTTGTTCCAAGATCCTAATCTAAGTACACTATGAGAGAGACCTGAAGACACTATTTGTTCACGAACGTTCGTTAATTGTGTTTAATGGCGATCTCTACTCTGGAATATATGAGCTAAGTCTATGTTAGAGAATTTAAATCCTCGGAGGAAGGAAGTGAAAGCTACTACATACAAATACACAATTCACAAATTCACTAATTGTATTGGAGATCTAATAGAGTCGGAATAGGTGTTCGACAATGATTCATTCTGAATATCTTATGGGAGACTGTGAAAACTGGAGTTACCTCTTTCAAAGTTCAAAGTACAAGCAGGAAATTCAGGATAAAGCTAGTGCACAAATAAGGCTCAGAATCATCATTGACAATCATAGCGATGTCTAAAGATGCTATTGCAAGGAAGAAAATAAGATTAAACTGTGTGCCCGTTCTGAAAGAAACAAGAGAGGTTTACATGAAATTATTAGTCTAATTTGCAAAGCGTATGTATACATGCTTGTATAAATGGCAGAGTTTGACTTGCTTTCTTAGCACAAACTAGCATCAAACACCTAGCAGACTTGGAGCGAATAATCATTGTGCCTGAAGAAAACGACAAAGACTTGAGAACCTTTTTATTAAATCAGAACTTCAACGTAAAATGCACGTTTCATGCTCACAGAAACACCCACCATTTGTGGGGAATTTAATTTAAAGTAACAGTAAGCTTCAAAAAGTTAACTAAGCCTAGTAGTTAAGGACTACACGTATTTAAAACTAAGCTGGCTTCAAACTTTTCATCATCGTAACAATTAAATGTCGGTAGCAATAATGCAAAATCAAAGAATTAAACCTTATCAGAGCTCACGAAATCTAGTAACGTGGGCTCCAATACGCTGTCTGTCAATCAAAAAAATCTCATAATAAATACTGTCTAAACTGATTTACATTTCTTCTCAAGAAACGGAAGAGGAGAAGTGACACGCTGAAATTATATACAATTGGTTAATGGCAAAATAATAATAACCTTACAAAGTAATAAAATGTAAGGGAAACTCTGTTATCCGTCCCTCTTTTAACCCTCGATTTAAATTTATTAAGCAAAATAAACGAAACTTTTGAGTATTTACAATAGGAATCTAAGACGTACTAGTAAATATGTTAGCTTATGGAAAGGGGAAAAAAATTAAATAAACTTGGAGACCATTACAGATGATTAAAAAATATATTTATGATGAGCAAGACAACAGAAATGAACAATCTCAAACTTGAAAATTTTATTAATTTTGCCCTTTAGAGTTATATAAAATGTTTCAAACTTATGTAAATAAATATCTGATGCACTAGATTTGCTTAAAACTTTCCATTCTATAAATTCTTCATTAAAGTTAAGTTGATCATATGAATTCTAATTTTCGCTGTCCAAGGACTGTTTACGCAAACAAGCTCTAATTCTGTTAATTCTGTGTGTTTTTCTATTAATTCATCAGTAGCGGTTATTGCATGTGAACAATAAAAATAACTGTATCAAAAAACTTGCAAAGAATTATTGCTTGTAAAAACGGCAAAATGGTATTCTGTATCAGTATATGAACTGAATTTCCTATATAATTGATATCAGTGGAGCTTTTCAAGTGGTCACGCAAATAAATGATGACTCCATGGGTGAAGCGAATGGAAATTCGTGTAATATGTACAATTTACAGAAAGCTAACCTTCTGAGCAATTAAAATAGTGCTATCGTATTTCATTGCATACAACATATTGGGGAAAATATCAATGCAACAGAAATAACTTTCTGCTCTACCACTAATATCGCAACTAGCAAAAAAAAAAAAAAAAACTGCAAAATACTAATTTTTGTTTTTCAAAAAATTCCCGAGTTATAATCATTAAGGAATATTTATTTCATCTGTTTCATTTATGTGAATTCGTAAGTTCTTTTTCCAAGAGTGAAATTTCATCCATACATTCACAAAATATGCAAATGTCTGGACTCCTTACTTTTGACCTTTTGAAGGCCAAAACGCCCGAGACACCTTTTCTTTCAAACGATCACAGCAACCCGAAACCGCCGAGATTGCGATGTTTTTTTCTTCCCTCCCCCTAAGGTATGAAGTAGCAGGTGCAGATTCCCCAGATGCATTATATCGATTTTCTGCAGTCTTGTCCTAAAACGCTAATGGAATCTTCTTTGTTAGGAAGCAGGTTTTGTTTGGTTTTGTTTATTAGATTACGGCAAAGCATTCGAGGGCTATCTGCCTTAAGGGATGGATGCCTTCGTGGAGGACTTTTTAAGGGAAACTGGCTCATATACACGTTACACATGGGGAAAACCACGAAAACTCCCATGCAGCCAGCCCGTTCACGGGATTCGAACCTCAGACCGAACTACCAGTGTTCAGTGACGTTACCGCTCGGCCTTGTTAGGAAGCAGAAAGGATGGAATTTGAAATATTCATACCTCTTTGCACATTAATGGACAGGAGGGGAGGAAATGGATGGGATGGGATGGGCGTTACGGTATTTTAAACACAGAGATTAGTGAATGCTTCGGTTTGCTAAGGGTTAAAAAAGTTATTCTAATTTAATTTACTGAAAATTACTCTTCAATATTTTTGTTGTTTCTGAATTAAAAATTTTGATGTCTTATTCTGCTTCGGATAATTAATCTAGAACCTAATTTTGTGGCACTCTTTTACAGTTCCTCCTATGGTTTGGATTCCTAACCAGTTAGTTGGCGCCCCTATTGGAATAGATGTTTCTTTAGACTGCAATCTTGAGTCTTACCCTCAATCAGTTACTTATTGGAATAGGGAAGGGGGTACAATGGTGCTCACAAACGACAAATACAACAGCCTTCTTATGAATACAGGGCTGTACAAAGTTACTATGAGGTTAACGATACGAAATCTGCAGCCTGAAGATTTCGGATCCTACACCTGCGTGGCCAAAAACTCATTAGGCGAAACTGAGGGTACCATTCGTCTATATGGTAAGTACACTACTTATACTGCATATACATTTGCATTTAATATTAAATAAAATTTGTTTCACTATTATAAGGTCTACTGTAAAATTCTACCCTTTTGGGAAATGAAAGAAAATAATATATTTTCCATAGTTCTTTAATATTTATTGTACAGTATAATTTCCATCGCTACTTATGATTTCTTGCCAGCATTATGGTAGTTTGTAAATATTTTTGAAAGATGTCTTCTATTTAGAGAAGAACTCAAGTAATGCTTAACTCACATCTTCAGTTTTTTCTAATTTTGCCCCCTCAAAAAATTTTCAAGGGTAGCAACAAGTAATAGATGGAGAGTGCTAGGTCTGAAAGTATGGTATTTCTGAAGAAATTCCTAGCCTAGATCTGCGATTTTCTGATCAGCCGACAAAGCAGCATGTGGTCTGGAATTATCATGATGCATTATGATATGCTTCCGATTGAGCGTGCCAGCCTCTAATCTTTGACTGTTGTGTTTAAAATATCATTAGTTGCAGGTATTTCTACGAGCTCAGCTTTTCGTTAGTTTTAAAAGTTCGTAATACATTATTCCTTAGACATCCCGCCATATACACAACATTATTACATTTAGACTCAAGCTCAGTTTAGAAGTGGAGGGGCAGGTTGTCCGGGCTCATACTACGCTCTTTTCTTAACGATGATTCCGTAGGTGATTCAATACCAGTCATCATCCGGTCCAAGAAAGGTTCCGTTTAGCTTCGAGCAAGCAGAGTATATGCATATCATGACTCAATCATGCAAAGGTTTCTCATTTAACTCATGAAGCATCTATTTGGAAAATCTGTAGACTAATCTTTGTGCCTTCATATGGTTCGAAATCGTTTTTTGGAGCTGGGATCAGCTCTTCCATAATCTGCAATGCTGTCAAAAAAGGATCTTCTTCTATCATGGTCATCACAATATCTTCATCGATCAAAGATGGCCTAAATGCTTCCTAAGCGGTAGTAGTATAAAAACACGGGTTCACCTGCACGCGGTGTGCGGTGTGGGCGTGGCCAATGACGTCACACAGAGGGCGGGACCAAAGGCAACGTCATCACACTAGGAGGCGTGGTCACGAGTGAAGTTGAGGTGTTGGTAGATTGCTGATTGAGTTGTAGACCTCCTGCTTTTCATTTAGAGTTAGTTTTTTTATATTGGCAACGGGAAATATTTTCTGCATCTTAATTTTGATGATATAGCGATGCTGCCCTCTCTTGACGAAAAAGTGAATTATATGTTTTAGAAATATATTTTTTAAGTCTGGTGTTAAAATTATTCAATGCGCGACTCTGAAAACAATGTAAAAGAAACAAATATAAAAAAGACTTTCCTTTAATGATAGTTCATCATGTCATGAAAATGAAATTACAAGATAATTTGTTTTTTTATTACTCAATTTTATTCTGATACTTTTATCCTTTCTAGTTTTAAGTGAAACTTTAAGTTATTTCTTAGGTTTTTCTGTTCATAATAACATATTCATTTACTGTCATATACTTTTTTTAATACTTAAACCGTTTCTAATTTGTAATATTTATTTATTTCCACATACTATTTTTTTTCATACCTTTCATAAATTTCAGCATACCCTGATTTTTAACTTATATGTTTATTTCACAAACGTTCCGCACATGCTGTTTATTTGTTACATTACTTAATTTTTAGATGCAATTTCACACACTTTTTTAACGTTATAATGTTCAATATATTCTGAATTTTAACTTCATTTACTTATTTTAAACCACTCTAGTATTCTATACACACTTTAACTTAGTGGTATGAAATTGTATTTAAAAAGAAAAACGTTTTATTTTTCGTGATCTTAGTTCTTTTACTAAATTTTCTACAGAATTTCTAATTTCTTTCACGTGTTTAACAATATCTTCCTTACATTACCGAATATTTTTTAAAAAAAACTTAAGTCTATAAACTGTTAATTGCTTTCTTACGTTCATGATTTCCCTTCTGTGTTCATATTTCTTAATTCTAGCTTAACTTATTTATTATAATGTTTTTATTTCTCTCTCATCACTCGTAATTCCAACATTTTATCCCTTTTTTTATTCATTTTAACGATATGGATGTTTTTCATTTACTCCATATTCAAATATTTCCTTACAATTTTTATAATACTTGTTTTATTCCTCGATCATAATAGATCATCTACAGGTTTTACTCAGAAATTTCCATTCACAACTTTTTCTCATATAGTTTTATGGTCTTCAAAGTTTCTAACATCATATTTAGTTTTAAATCCCGATTACCTTTAAGTGTGTTGATAATTTTCATTTCTAATTTTACAACCACGTTCAGTGTTTCATCCACACATACCAAAATATTTCTTACATTTTCTGATATTTAGTCTATGTCATATTTCAGTACTTCAAATGAATTTACACTGCTCACACTATTATTTTTTCATGTTTTAGAGACACTAACTATACTAATTTTACTATTTTTCCTGCACTAATTGCATCTATGTCAGCACTCATGATAAACTAGCAATTGTTTTGCATCACATGCACAAAGAAATTCTTAAAACCAACTTTTTCAATATCGTACTCAAATTACTGTTTTTCCAGATGGGAATTACCAGTATCTTTGGTTTTACTCTGTTACATCTTTTTAAATTTTAACATCTTACTTTTAATTCTAACATACATCTTTTAAACAGTTTTTTATTTTAATGATAGCCTTACCTTATTTGTTCAAATTAATTCTTTCATTCACCTTCTTTACTACCTTTCAGTACCTTCATAATTCACTATGCAAACGCAATGTCTTTCACTGACATTCTGTTAATAATACCACAAGTTTCCTTAATTGACAAAAAGCGAATTATTTCTCATTTCAAAATAGAACTACTATATTTTTGCACAAACATTACCTTTATCCATTCAAGCCACCCCTTAACCTGTAACTGACGTAGCGATAGGAAAGGAGATTCTTATCATATGCTCTTTCGACATTTGAGGTTTCTAGAACTTTCTTGACAAGTATATCAATACCATCAGAAAATATACTTAACACTTTTACCCAGTTTAAAGGCAACATACTGTTATAAGAATGGTTTTAGTTAAATTTATAACACAAATAAACGCATTTTGTGCTAAATAGGCATAAACATTTAGATTCAGAATATTCTTTTTAATCCGATGTAAGACTTGAATTTCATTCATGATACGGATTGTCTCTTGATTTCTTTTTGTTTACCTTACACTAATAGAAAATTTTTATTTTACAAGTTCAGCTTTTAATGAAATAGAAATAAAAACTACGATACACCTGCTGTTTTTAAGAAAAGGAACTTTGATATATTTCTGGAAATGTAAATGCTTTTAGAGTTTTCTTTCAATAACGTTGATTTTCATTACTTTACTAACTTCAATAATTCTCTTATTAGCTAATATGAATGAAAGAAGATTGTCAAAATGTGACACAGTATAATTCTTACGAACATATGTACCTTTACCAGCATACAGATATTACCGATTGAAATGAAGAAAGATACAGATATTTTACTCCAATCTACATTAAATTAAAAAAAAATATTTAAATTTTCATACATTCCAAAGAATAAACGAAAACTCAATAGATATTGTCATGTTTGTATATATGAGATTAAAAGTTTATGAATGGTATTTAAAGTAATGCTTAGAACTTCATAAAAGCGAACATTCACTATGTTAATAACATATCATCAGTTATTTACATTAATCAATGTAATATATCATTACATGTACTATATGCATATATATTTAAAGTTTAATTGTCTTACAATTGATAATTAACTATTGAGAGAAAGAGGTTCATATCTTACACTATTTAATTCACATGGAACAAATTTTTCCATCAACCACATTGAACCACGTTTATTAAAATTCGCCAAAGCTCTTTACTTTTCTGCATTTTCACACTCACGACACATTTTAAATGTAACTATTGATTACCATTTCAAACACCGATATATAACTCAGTTGTAAAACTACATCAACTCATTTTTTCCCTACTAACTACCAATTTATATATTCAAGAAGTACATCTAAGACATGATCATTTTCTATGTTCTAGCAAAATCGATTCAATTGCGAACATTGCTATTAAGACTTGCGATTTTAGAAGACTTGCATGTATTAACGATGTCAACGTTCTTCGTTTTTGTAAGATTCGATCAAACCATGTCGCATTCGAATGTGGTGTAAGAGATCACTTTTTCTTTAAACACTTGTAAACAATGGATGCAATTTATAAGAAGAGAAGTATCATGCTGTTTCAAAAACATCATCATCAGCATATTTCTGTTTCTTTGACACCAGCAAATTAAAAAAAAAAAAAAAAAAAAAAGGTTCGTGAGATTTTCTCAAATTCTGTTTTACTTGAAAAAATGTCCGAACATTCAATACGATGTAAAGATTCATATTGTTTTTAATTCTTATGCTCACTAAATTTTTTTATCACGATTTACATCAAAGAACTTGTGATTATTCACTACAAAATTCTAAGACGAGAAGCTTCGCGACTTTCAAACTACAAACTTAAATTTCTTAGGA